TTTTTTTCTCGTCTGTTGTAAATTTATTTTCAACCAATTATATTTCAATTTTTTTTTCAAACCTACTGATGACTGCTTGTGTGTATTCACTCATTCACTAAGCGTTTGGCTGGCTCTTCAACGGTTGAATCGAACTGACATATTTTTTTGCTCGTTTGGCTCTTTATGTGAATCGGACAAACATATTTTTACGGAGAATTTCAGTTCTAGATTCTAATGCTGAGAGGTGGTATACCCCTTAAATGCAAGAATTTTGCTACTTAAAGCGGACCTCTAAATATGTTAACCCTGATTTTTCAATTTCTCACAACTTGTTGATGGATGCAAATGATGCTAATGAACATATACAAACGGCCACCACCGTATACTCAAGGCTATATTCTTCCACATATATGCATTTATCTCACATTTTTCTTCATTGATATTTTTTCTCCATTTCGTGCATTCCCTTCTCTATTCACTTGGCACAATGAAATCATGAATTCAGAAAACATGAAACTGCAATTATTCTCGAATGGCACTTTTTGTTGTTGAATTCGCGTTTCCTCGATAGGAAAACGGTTCAGCAGACCGCAAAGTTCATTCACCACAAAAAAGATTCAGAATCTGTCACCGTTGTGAAGGTGCTAAACGTAGAACTGACTGAATTCACTGAATAGGTGACAGCGCAGAAATCACCTTATATTTAAGTGGCCAAGTGATTCCAACGAATTGATTGATCGCGAGTGCGAACAAATGCAAATCCGAGGTGAGCATTCCACCGATTCGAAACACCTCCAATATTGCCGCGAAACAATCACTCTTCTTACGGATGCGGATTACCACAGTTAGGTAACTATTCACTATCAGTCCTGTCAATTATATCAGCTTTCATTTAATCCGTTTCGTCATCACAAAATAAACTATGACCGTGATGAACACTCGGGCATTTTTCAAAATCCTTCACAAATCAACTAATTCAACTTGGAATTCACTTGGATATTCACAACTGTGAATGAGTAGGCGAAAATTTTCAAACGAACGACAGCAACAATTGGTTTATCAGGAGTTAGGCAATGGGTGCATACCAGTAAATTCAATTCTCAAAATTGGCATCCAATGCGAGTGCAGTTGATGGGTGCTTGTGTAGCGTGTGCAATTGCTAATTCGTTAAAAGACTGGAAGGTGAATGACAACAAACTCTGCTTGGAGGAATAATAAACAACCTGCGGTTAATAAGGATGCGGCCCACATATCTGCGGCAGCAAGTGAAACACACAAACGCAAGTAAGGAGTGACCGGTGGACTTAGCCACGGCGATGAGATCACAATCAATGAATTGCCGATAATAGCAATCTGAATGCAAAAGTGATTTGATCGCTTTCTTTGAGTTGTTGCTCAAGTTGAAGCTCGAACCCCTCAGCGGGAATTGAATTCATTCACCGAAAAGCATGCGATCATCTCATAGTATTCATGCGATAATTTTCGGATGAAGTTGCAACTTTGACGATAAAATGATTAAATGAACTAGTTAATCTTTAGATGGATGCATGTGAAACATGCAGTTTATGTCGATAAGCTAATGAACTGCTGATTGTTTACGTTGTGAGAACTGTTCACTAGAACTGGAATAGTGATGGATAACTTAATTGATTGGAACAGATGTCTTATTTTGTTGATCAGCTTCATCGAGGCAACTAATCATCTGTTTTCTCTATTTTATATCGACAAACAAGAACAAAACGATCTGCATTCATGACAGAATACGTACGATGATTGAACTGACTAACCATGAGAATAGAAATCATCAGAGGAACGAGCCATATGTACGTTTCTCGTACGAAAGTGATTTGTGGATGCTCAGTTATGATTGCTCGCGATGTGCTAGTTGGAATCGATGAATATGCTGTTTTATAGACAACGTCTGAAAGCTTGGTTCTTTATTCATAAACAAGAATTCAGTATGTATCCCTTTCCAATGCTTTTGTCGAATTTGACTGACGTTTCGCAATTAGTTTCAAACAAAAACATCGTAAAATATCGAAGAACATTCGAAAACATTGTTTAGATTGATACACATACCCGCCCGGTGAATAATGTGAGCATCTGCGCAATTGAATCATTGCAACAATTAACAACTAATTCAAAATTGGATTTGTTATGTGTGCTTTGTATCTAATCAACGAAGAAGTTNTTCGACTTTCTTCAACAGTTCACAATGAATAACAACAGAAACAACAATGTTCAATCTGAACAAATAATCAGTTTACTTACCAATACCACTCAGCGCAGTAGTGGTCAACGGGAACGAAGTTGAGTTCATGAGTGAGCGAACGATTCAATGTTTATCACATTAACAACAACATTCTCGAATAGCCTAACTTAATCACTGAGTGAAATAGGCAATATGAATAGTTCGATTACTCGTTCTTGTCACTCTCAAACTGAAACGATACACTGATGAATTATTAGCTGTTAGCTCTTTACCTATTGTTCTCTTGTAATGTAGTGTGGCTATTGCGTGTGAAACAAGCAGTTATAATTTGAAGCGTTGCATAAACATAAAGTTCAACATAAGTTCACGTTGCCATCTAAGAAGTATTCATCGCAAATCATTTATTCTTAAATGATTAACTCTACGATAACTATACACGAATTGAATCACTGAATGCAGGTATAATTAAGATAAATTCACTAATTAATCGTGACCGATCGAGAGACATGTTGAAGTGATGTGAAAATGTGAAGTGTGAAGGTAACTGAATGACGAACTGATGAATTAATCAGCTGACGAAAAATCAGGCAGCATTGCAAATTGAATGTCCGATGAACATTCGAACATTTGGAATTGAGATTTCAAGGGAGTGGATGTTTTACACACCTTTCAGGGATTTCCAAGGGCAAGGACATAGCTCAGCAGTGATGCGCGCAGCTAATCCCACAGTGGTCGGTTGCCGAACATGTCGTTTCATTCTGCATTGACAGCGCCAGTGTAACCCCGCATTCTGTTCCTGCTATCGTCTTTGTCAAATTCGAAAATCTGGGACCGTCATTAAAAATTAGTCGGTTATTGCTCCGTCATAACTAACTGAGTCACGATTCTCTGATCAACAAAGAGATCATAAGAGGATTTCAACATTGGCTATTTAAGTGAACACTGTTTCCAAGTGAGTGCAATCAAAGAAGCGTGAAGAGGTTCCTGATGACTTGATAAATGAGACTGAT